AGCCTGGTTTGGGTTGAAGAGACCTTAAAGCTCCTCCAGTTCCAACCCCTGCCATGGGCAGGGACCCCTTCCACTAGAGCAGGTTGTTCAGACCCGCATCCAGCCTGGCCTTGTGCTGCATCCAAGCAGTGCATCACAGTGCTGCAGACGTGCAGAGGGATGAAATGCTGCTGAAGCTTTCGTGGGATGGAAGCACCAGGGAAAGGCCAGATTTAAAACTAATTCATACCTTGAGTTTTTCCCTAGCTAAAGCACAAGCTGTGGTCCCTGTCAGGGTGTCTGGGTATATTCAGTCCTGTTTGGGGGGGGAAGAAAACCCACTTTTCAGTGCACTTCTGTAGCCTTTCTCCAATGCCTTGGGGTATTGAGCACAGCTTCTGCTCTGCGTGTTCTCACTCGTTCGATGAATAATCAATTTGGCTGCTGTGTGCACTGCTCATGGAGAAAGAAACTGCTTCTTGTTAAAGGTGTGAAAGTAAGTCGTGTGTAAAATTAGCTTAGCCCTTTCCTAAGTCAGATGGGAATTGCTTTCAAAGCATTACAACCTGCCCAGATTCCCAAGAGCTTGGCCATTTTCCACACCAGCTCGAGAGGAGGATTTTCCCAAACTACGGCAGGAGGGATGCTGGGGACTTGTTAATGGCTGGGTCACCAGGATGAGACCCCAAGCAGCATTCCCAAGCTTTGGGAATGCTGGGAGGAAGCGTTCCAGTGTCCATGGGGAAATGAGGGTGGCTGTCCCCAAACGGTGCCTGCAGGTGACACCATCCAGCCCCGCTCCTGGGCTGCCAGCTCCTCTGCCTGCAGCTCGTGTTTCTTTCTGCTGTGAAGAAAACCGAAGTTCTGGGGTGGGATTTGCGGCCACCCCAGGGATTTGGACATTAATTTCTAATGGGGATTAAGAATTCAAATCCCTTAAGCAGCTTTTGCAGCCCCATCCTTCCCTCCTCTGACTGCAGAGACCCCCGGCCAGCCCTGCTCCAGTGTCTGAGAAACCCCCACACCAGCGCAGCGGGAAGGGCTTTTACCACCCAAACCCAGCGTGAGCCTGGGGAAGAGCCCTGATATCCCCTTAAACATCATGGGGTCAGCTGTGCCCTGGCATCACCCTCCCCTGAAACGCAGGGCTGGGGCTCTGCCCCGCTCCAGCGGAGGAGGCCCTTCAGAAAAGGAGGTTGAAGGCTGCTCCCACCAGCAATGCCCCCAGGCCTGAGGAGTGAGTGCAATGCCTCCTCTGCAAGAGTTCCTATAAATAGGCTGACACCATTTCCTTGCTGAATTAGCAGGGGCTTTGAGGCCATTTCCCACCATATCCCAGGTTCCGCACGTTGCTGTCCTGAGTCCACCCTGGGCACACATCTGGCATGGTTTAACATGAGCAGAGCTTGCTGGAAGGGAAGGGAAGGGACCACTTCAAGAGCCCAACTCCACGAACAATAAACCCCAGCAGAAAGGTTGGCTTCCTGGTTCGAACTGAGGGAGAAAAACTTGTTTGTTGTTTCCACTGAAGGCTGCTGGCACGCACAGGGATGTTTTGCAGCTACTTTGGATGCCACGGCAGGCAGCAGGAATCTGGCAGGAGGCAGCTGGCAGGGGTTCCTGGCTGGCAGGACCTTCAAGGCTTGGCCTCAGCAGAGAGAGAGGGGTGAATGTGCTCCCCAGGCGAGCTGGATCCCTGGGGCATCCCTCATCCCTGCCCTGGGACACTGCTCTGCGCTATCGATGCTTGTGGACCCCTCCAGGATCCTCCCTCCCCACGTCCTGGTCGATCTGGGGGAGAAAAATGTGAATTAGGGGCATCCACCGCAGCTGTGACATAGTAGAGGAGGAGGTTGAGCACAGGAGGAAGAGTTGGGGGGGGTGATGCTCCTCTGTCCCCTGGGATGATGCTCCTTGTGCCATCAGCATCTCCCATTCTGCTCCCCCTCCAAGAGCAGAGCAGAGGAGGATGCAGACCCAGGCTGCTCTCACCCTGCTGCCCTGCGACACCAGGGGCTCATATTCCCAAGGCTATGGGACATGGGGAGAGGCAGCAGCCTCTGGCCTCTCTTCCAAGCCCAGGAACCTCGTTAGCAGCTCAGCCCCATTAGTAACCATCTCCATGGTGATGGAGCTCAGGAGATCACATTGCACAGGGGCTCCCGCGCTGAGCAGCCCCTAGGCCAGGCTTGGGCACGCCAGGGCCATGAGGCCGAAGGCGGCGCTCCGCAGGGTGCAGCATTGGTTTCCCATCTCCTCATCCCTCGCAAAGGAAAAGGCATAAATAAACCCCATAATGAACCAGGTGTCCCCTGATTGCCTGGGGCTGGATGGAGGCATCTCCCTGCACGTGCTGCTGTCGGCAAAGAGCCACAACAACCACAATGAGCTCTTGATGGGGAGCAAGATGCCTGAAGATGCCGAACACCCCGGGGCAGCCGCATCCTCCCTCGCCCGGATGGGATCTCCGGAGGAGAGGAGCTCACGCAATAGCCCTTCTGCAGGCACTCGTGCCATCGCTCCAGAGCTTTATGAATATTGTAGCAAGGCCGCTCCTTTCATCTCCGCTTCCTTCCAGGGAGCCCCAAACCTTCTGCACATTCGTTTCCACCTCGCTGTTCCTCTGAATTATTTAAACTCGCCTTCCCGAAAGCGGAGCCCTTCCATTACTGCTCCTTCCTCTGCGGCACACGTGGAATTTGGGGACTTGCAAATCCACTTCATCTCTTTGCATCTGCGCAGAGCCGCAGGTTTCCATGGGCTCCCCTCCCCTCCAGCCACCCCAGGCCACATTCCCAAAGGCAACAAAAACCTCGGGACTAAAGCAGAGCTTTGATGCTTTTTACTGGGGTCCTGGGTGCTGTGGGGTTTCCCAACATGACTTCAATTATGGCCATTGCTCTCCTTGCTGCTGGTCTTCCCCCAGAGACACGTGGGGCTGGCAGTTGTACCAAAGTGGGTCACCACTGGCTCATAAGACTCTGGAAAAATCCCTTGTGGCTCCGTTGCTATCACTTATAAAGCTAGAAAGGGCTTCCTGCAGAGCAGATCCCATCCCTGCCGCTCAAATGAGACATCCCCAATTAATCACCTTGTAACTGGGAGATAGGAATGCTGAGCCCAGCTCCCCGAATGCTTACAGAATCACAGAACCATAGGATCATGGAATGGTTTGGGTAGGAAGGGGCCTTAAAGCTCCTCCAGCTCCACCCCCTGCCACAAGCAGGGACACCTTCCCCTAGGGCAGCTTGCTCCAAGCCCCTGTGTCCAACCTGGAGGCTCAAAATGCTGCTGGACAAAAATGCACTTTTCAGTAACCTAGAGCATGGAAAGAGCTTCCCTGGCTCCTTCCGAGCGGTGGGAGCTGCGCTGGACCCCTGGGCTCCCTGGGGATCCGGCCGCGGCCCACGGCAGGGTTTTGGGGCAGCTCCAGGGGATGTTGGCAGCGAGGGGGTGACTCAGCCGGGTTTGAAGCATTTCGCTCTCTCCTGTCGTGCCTGAACCTGCCGGGAGCTCCACAGGCAGATTCCAGCGGCCACATCAGCCCTCCCCTGGTGCTGCACCGCGGCTGGGCTGTTTGCTGGAGCGAGACACCCTCAGCCAACATCCTCCTGCTGTTCATGGGCTATTCCGTGGCTATCTCATGCCCCACTAATGCTCTCTTGATGTGGCTCATCCCCTCCAAAGCCACAATGGGGCAGTTGGGGTCTCCTCACCCCGCTGATGGGGGGGTGGAGGAGGTGCAATGTGTGCCCTGCGGACAAGTTATTCCTGATACCATCACTTGTTCATGGATTTACTGGCACAGAGCTGCAGAGCGGAAACGGGGAAGGAGGCTCCAAGGGGACACCCGTGCGGAGGGGCTGCCTCAGAGAGCAGCTCCCTGCTCCGTAACTCCCACAGTGTTCCAGCTCCGGGCAGCAGCACCAGAGGGACGTGGAGCCGCTGGGGCGAGTCCAGAGGAGGCCCAAACCAGGCTGTGGTTCTGTGGCACCAGCCCCACAGGGGGTCCATCCCTTCCCCACCGCAGGCTGGTTCAGGCTGCTCCCCTCCGTGCGTCACTCCCTGCATTAATCATCCCCTCGCTCTGCACCAGCTCCTCACTGAGCGAGAACTTCGCACATTAAAAATTAACAGCGCTAAATGATTGATGCCGGCACCCGCGCCCTGCGGCACCGCTCGGCAGCTCCCGCTCGGCTGCCCCCAAGGGCTGCCCCGTGTCCTTGTCCCACTGCTCCGGGCATCAGCTGGGGGAGAAGCCCAGCGCGGCCGTAACCCCCGACCCTCTCCTCACTCCTCAGCACCCCGTCTGCGCCCCCAGCACCCCCTAGCACCCCCCTGCACTCCCATCACTCATCAGCACCCCCAACACCCCCCAGCACCCCCCTGCACCCCCCTGCACTCCCATCACTCATCAGCACCCCCCAGCACCCCCCAGCACCCCCCAGCACCCCCCTGCACTCCCATCACTCATCAGCACCCCCAGCACCCCCCTGCACCCCCCTGCACTACCATCACTCATCAGCACCCCCCAGCACCCCCCTGCACCCCCCTGCACTCCCATCACTCATCAGCACCCCCAGGACCCCCCCGCAGCCCCGCTTCCATCCCAGCAGCGGTTCCCGGTTCGACACCGCCCCCTGCGGGCCGACACGTCCCGGTGCACCGGAGCGCGCAGCCGCGCGGGGGGGCACCAGCGGCGAGGCGGGCGCCGGTGGACGGAGGGGGATGACGGGGATGGGGCTTCGGGCTGCAGCACCGGCGGCTTGGGGTCACCGACACCCCCACCCCCCACCTCATCACCCCCCCACGCTGTCACCCCGCCACACCGACGGTTAACAAATGTCCCTCATTGACCACAACTCTTCCAGTGCCACCATCCACCTAATTCCTTATCCACCCAGTGGTCCATCCATGTGTCTCTCATGCATCATCTGCAGGAAAAGCTCCTTTAGATCAGCCACATTCTGACTCCTCTCTGCTTGCCAGCAAAGGAAAATCCAGCCAGGACACCTGGGCTCCAGGAGGGAATCTCTCTTGGAAGCACTGTGGATGGTGCAATATTTGGGGAACCTTATTCTGTCCAATAGATGAGGTGGGAAGCTCCCAGCAGAGATTGGAGAGCAGAAAGCACCAGCAGAGATGCTGCCCTGAGGAGGATTTGGGCTCCAAACCATCCCACCGAGGGGAAGGAACAGGAAAGCTCGTCCCCTTGGCCACACTCCGATGTCACCAACTCAATGGGCCGATTGTGCGCTGGGACCAGATGCGCTGCTTTGGATGGTGGCACAGAAAGGCTTTTCTGCTGCTTCTCAATAACAGATCTATGACGCTCCTGCCAGGAAGGTCCCGCTGAGCACCCCTCGGCCCTTGCCAGATCCCGGGCAGCTGGGAACCTGCAGGGCAGAGAAGGGTCCTCTGTGCGTCGAGGCACTCGGATTCCCTGGAAATGTCAAGCTGGAGTTGGATGCCATCAGCCTGGGGGCTCTGAGCAGGGGGGAGCGGAGCTGGAAACAGCTGGAAATAACTCCAGATGGAGAGACTGAGAGGTTGCTTTGCTGGTGGCTGTGGCAGGGCACAAGGGCATTGCTGTGCAGGACATTCCCTCTTTGTCCTAAGGAGCTGGCTGATGTCTTCGCTGGGAGATAAAGGGCAGAGAACACAGAAGAAGAAGGTATTTGGGGTGGTTTGCTCCCCCTGTGCATCTCCATCCCCATCCTCATCCTCATCTCCATCCCCGTCTCCATCCTAATCCCCATCCCCACTCCCACCCCTATCCTGCTCTGCAATGTGAAGACACTGGGAATCAGTGGGTGAAGCTGAGCCCACATCACCACCAGGTGATGGGGACATCCATGTCCTCCCCTCTCACCAGGAACTGGGGGGCTCAGAGCTGTGCCAGAGCTGCTGCTCCTGCACAAGAGCATTTCCCAGGGGATGGGAAAGGATCAGGGATTGCCACAGCAACCTGGCCTTGAACACTGGCAGGGATGGGACAGCCACAGCTTCTCTGGGAACCCCGTGCAGTTGGGTTTTAGGGATACAGCACAGAGGCCCCTGAAGAAAAATACCCATTTTTTAGGAGTGCTGAGCTGCAGCTGAGATCCCGACTTTTCCATGCACCCCGGGCTGAAACCCTCAGCATGCAGCATGAACGGATACCTGGAAAATCCCACACCTGGGAGCATCCTGCCGGCAGCTCCCACCAGCCGTTGGGGAGGGTTTATGGCCCTGTTAAGTGCAGAAGGGTGCTGCCGTTGGGGCAGGAGCTCCATCCTGCGCTGCTGGTGGGGCTGGCCTCCAGCCAAAGCAAATCCCAGCACTGGAAACCCGCACGGCATTGTCCTCAGGCCTGATAAGCCTGAGCTGCAAATCCAGCCACAAAAGAGAAGCCGCCCCGTCCATCCCAGGCCGGCCCCGGCTGGTGCCGTGCCAAGCGGGAGCAATATTGCCCAAGATAAAAGCCAGCGCCCAGTCTAAAATGTCACCTGCGGCCACATCAGAGGGAACACGAGAGAGGGGACAGGGGACAAGCACCTGCGTGAGGGTTGGTCTTAGAATCACACAGTCCCAGTCTGGTTTGGGTTGGAAGGGACCTTAAAGCTCATCCAGTTCCTGACCCTGCCACGGGTTGCTCCAAGCCCCTCCAGCATCCAGCAGCCCCTCGAGGACCCTTCCTCTGGTCCCAGCGTCTCCAGCTGTGAAAGCTGCTCCCGCTTCACCCTCGGGCCCTTTGTTTTGCTGCAGCATCCCAGGGAGGAAGGATCTGAGAAGAGAGGCAATGAGAGGAAACGAGAGCTTCCTGCCTGCTCCCGGACCTGCGGGCAGAAAACGAGGACATTCTGCTGCAGGAGGGGACTGTGCCGGGCTCGGTCAGCACGGAAGTGTTCACGCTGCTTTCCTACAGGGAATGCACTGGGCAAAGCCTTGAACAGCCTTTGCCCACGGGTCCTACACGGTGCCCAGCCCATGGAGGGTGTGATGGAGCTGGGCTTGGGCAGGCACAGAGGAGCTGAACAAGCAGGGATGAACTCAGGGAGACAGGAAGTGTTTGGAACACACACACACGTACTCTCTTTCCAACTGCCCTGGTGGGGAAACTAAGGCACAATCACATGCATAGTTCCAGCTGGCAGAGAGCAAAGGTTTGGGAATTATGGGGAAAGCCATTTTTTGAGACCCTTTTCTGGACCCAAAAAAAAGGTTTTTACTGTTTCTGATGAATTGAAACTCCTCAGGTCCCAGGGGTTCTATTCAGGTGGATGCTCTTGGGAGGGACATGGAATCCCAGCCTGATTTGGGTTGGGAGGCACCTTAAAGCTCCTCCAGCTCCAACCCCTGCCACGGGCAGGGACCCCTTCCACTGGAGCAGCTTGCTCCAAGCCCCTGTGTCCAACCTGGCCTTGAGCACTGCCAGGGATGGGGCAGCCACAGCTTCTCTGGGCACCCTGTGCCAGCGCCTCAGCACCCTCACAGGGAAGAGCTTCCACCTAAGAGCTCATCTCAGTCCCCCCTCGGGCAGGCAGCTCGAAGCTCGGCACTCAAGCAGGAGCAGCAGAGAAGCCACAGGCACTGCCATTTGCCCCAAGCCTGGGTTTGTCTGGGGCTGCCGGGGACTGCTGGTCCAGGCAGGCAGGTGACACAGCTCAGACCAGTCCTGGGTCAGCGTCCCTGGCCCAGGGTGAAGCCACCGAGCTGGCTGAGAGCCGAGACTGAAGCATCCCACATGCAGTTATCATTTATATGGGGTTCAACCCCAACTGACCCTTGTGAGTTCTCTGCTCATGCCCTTGCATGTGAGCTGTGCAGTTTCCACAGAAAACTGGGGCCCCCAACACAAGAGGGACGTGGAGCTGTTGGAGCGAGGCCAGAGGAGGCCATGGAGCTGCTGCGAGGGCTGGAGCAGCTCTGCTCTGGAGCCAGGCTGAGAGAGCTGGGCTGGGGCAGCCTGGAGAAGAGAAGGCTCCTGAAGGGGAGACCTGAGAGCAGCTCCAGTGCCTGAAGGGGCTGCAGGAAACCTGGAGAGGGGCTTGGGACAAGGGCCTGTAGGGACAGGCCAAGGGGAATGGCTTTAAGCTGCTGCAGGTGGCCGAGGTGCAGGTGGAGGCCGTGGTGGCACAGGGTGCCCAGAGAAGCTGTGGCTCCCCCATCCCTGGCAGTGCTCAAGGCCAGGTTGGTCACAGGGGCTTGGAGCAAGCTGCCCTATGGAAGGGGTCCCTGCCCGTGGCAGGGGTTGGGGCTGGAGGAGCTTTAAGGTCCCTTCCACCCCAAACCATGCTGGGATTCTGGGATTCTATAAAAACGTAAGTGCCAGAAGTTAGGGCTGCCCCTTGGGTTTAACCTTTTTCAGTCACCAGAGCTTAAAGCCAGAGGAGCCCAACCAGCACAGGGGTGTTTGTCAGATGCCCAAGTGCAGGAACAGGTGACGTGGACATGGGTCCTCCATGGAGCTCTGAGCCGGAATACGGGGCATGAGCTCTGCAGCAGTGGGACTTCACTCATCACACCAGGCCCCACTTTTCTGGATGGATAAGACAAGCCCTGCATGGCTAGAGAGGACCATAAGGGCTACTTAGCCAAGCAGCCAGTGAATGGACAGGAGCAGCGCTATTCTAGACCTGCTTTGGAGACGGAAGGAGGGCATGAAATCACCAAGTTCATTACCACAGGATGCCAGAGAGGCCAAGTATGTAAATGGGTTGGAGAGGGACGAGGTCTGTCGGTGGAGGTAGGTGCATCAGGGCTATTAAGGTACTTCCGTCCGGACGCAAACCCTTTCTCAGGAAGCCCCTGAGCTGCCAGCCAGCAGCAGGGAGGGACGCCGGGAAGCACATCTTGTTTCTCCTGCTCTTCCCGTGAGTAGTGTTACAGAAAGAGTCAGTGTGGAAAAATACCCGGGGGGGGGAGTGCGGGGGGAGGTTCAGGAGCTGAAAAGGGAAAGAAAAAGAAGGAAAAATCCTTGCTGAGGGTTTCAGCATTGGAAGGGGTTGGAGCAGTCAATGAAGGTGTGAAACTGCCAGGGGTCCCTGTGGGATGGAGACAGCCCAGACCTCGCTGAGCAGGCGAAGCAGGCGGGGAAGAAAGCTGGCAAGAAAAGGAGACAAACAGCCTGTTGCTGGGACAGGGGAGGGCTGCCAAAACCCAGCGGGGCCAGGCCGGGGAGCCCAGCACAAGGCTCCCGGCCGCAGGACGAGGGCAGGCAGTGAGAGGCCATGGGGACGAGGCAGGGTGTGCTGAGGGAGGATGGCGGGGTGGGAGCTGGATCCCAGCGAGCTGAGCTCAGGCAGGGGATCCCCCAAACCTGGGGTAACAGGGGTAGGGGATCCCCTTGTCTCCAGGGTGAGCATCCCCCAGGGGAGCAGGGTCAGGGGGGAGTGGAATAAGGGTACCTCAACCCCAGGGTGACCAGGGCAGGGGATCCCCCATTCCCGGGGAGAGCAAGGTAGGGGATACCCGCATACCTTCACTCACTGGGACATCCCTTCCCCAGGGTATCCAGGACAGGGGACTCCCGGGGTGACCAGGGCAAGGGACACCTCCCTTCCTGCACTTACCGGGACACCCCTTCCCCGGGGACCCGGGCAGGGGATACCGCACCGGGGGCAGGGCCACGGGGACCCTCATACCCGAGGAAAGGGCTGCGTGGGACCCCCCGCACCGGGCTGAGCGGGGCTCGGGGGCGGTGCCCGTCCCGACCGGGGCCCGGGGGCGCTCCCCGCCCGCTGCCGCCCCGCCCCGGCCCTGCTGCCGGCCCGCCCTCGGCCCGGCGGCCCCGAGCTGCAGCCCGAAGCCGCCGGGCTCGGGACGGCGGCCCCCGCGCTAGAGCTCGGCTGCAGCCCAGACGCGCGGACGGCGAGGTGAGGGGCGACGGGACCGGACGGGACCGAGCGGACGGGGCGGGGGCTCGTCCCGGTGGCGGAGCCCCGCAGGGCCCCGGAGCCGCCGCCGCCGCCCGGGGCCCGCCGAGGGGCCGCTCGCAGCCGCCGCGACGGGACCGCAGCGGGCTGGGGCCGCACCGGCATCCCCCGGAGCGGGGCTGCTGCCGGCGGCCAGCGAGGAGGGGCCGGGACCGGGACCGGGGCCGTCGGGGCCGGGCTGGGGCGCCCATCGCCCGCTGGCGGGAGCGCGGAGTCCCCGGGAGGTCTCCTGGGATGCGGGGGGCTGCGGTCACCCGGGGGCTATGGGGAGCTGTGGGGCTCCCGAGGGTGCTGGGGACACCCAGAGCTGGGGGTGCTGCAGGCTCCCTGGGGTGCGGGGAGCGGCTGTAGGCATCCCAGGGTGCTGGGGACCCACAGGGCACCCCATCGTGCTGCAGGCCTCTCGGGTGCTGCAGGGTTCAGGGTGCTCCTCATGTGCACATGGGAAACCCGACATGGGACTGTGCCTGCACACCCTGAGTGTAAATTTAACCATTCCATCGCCTCCTCGGGAGGACGACTCCAGCCCCTGGGGCTTGTTCCCAGGTCTGTTGTCACCAGCTCCAAGGGAATCGAGGAGGTGTCGGTGGAAAGTGCTGTTGGGCAGCTGTGGTGAGGGTGCAGGAGTAGTGGTAGATGTTTTCTAGTGGGCTATAGAGCTATAGGTGTGATGGGGCACATAGAGCTGATCCCTGTGTGAGTACATCTGCATAGGGACCTGCCTGTTGTCCGGGTAGCGTGTGAGCCTGGGGTGCTGGAGCTGGTGCTCAGCCCAGGCAGCCCCTGCAGCCTCCCGACCAACCGGGCTGCCGGTGACGACAGCTCCAGGAATAACGGCCCAACCCTGAAATCGGGCTGCTGAGAAGAGGGAAGCGTTTCCCTTCCCCTCCCGAGTCAGCACCGGCGCACCCACCCGCATGGGATCCAGCTCCTCGGGAGCAGCCCCAGCCTGGACCGCATGGCCGAGGTGGCCTGGGCAAGCAGGCACAGGACGGTGGGTGGCACGGAGCTCGGGATGCCCCGTGCAGCCCTGGAGCAGGGGATGGGGATGGGGTGTGTGGCTGAGAAGATGCCATGACCCCCCAGTCCCTCCCATCCGCACCCAGCGGGAGACAGTGCAGGTGATAGGCACATGTGGTGCCTGGCTCGGTGTGAGGATCCTGAATCCCAGCCGGTTGCTGGAGCGGAGGAAGCCATGTGCTTGCTCAGTGGTTTCCCTTTAACTTCGGAACAACCTCAGCCCTGAGCTTTGGGGCTTATCGCCTGCACGCAGCTCCGAGGAAAGCGTGCCTGGCCGAGATAAATCAAGTCACCCTGGCGAGGGCTACTCTGGACTCTGTTCTTCTCACATTCCTCATGACCTCAGTAGTCTGGCTTTGGGAGGAGAGCTGGGGAGACCTCTCCCTGTGTCCAGCCTCTGGAGTGGCTCGGGTGAGGGGAAGGACCCAGAGGAGTCCAGGGTTTTAAAAGCAGCACCCCCAGGTCTATCCCCTGAGGGAATGGGGACCCCCAGGGTGGATTGCCCCACGGACCACAAAGTTGGGAGTAGCAGGGGGCTGACTGGTTGTGGGTACTGGATGGTATCTGAGCTGTGCCTGCCTGTGCCATCCCTCATGTGGCTTTTTATTGGAATCAAGTGGAAAGGCTCCAATTTTAGACCCAAGTTTCCTATAGGTTGAAGGCCAGGTTGGACAGGGCTTGAAGCAAGCTGGTCCGGTGAAAGATTTTGGCACCAAACTGGCCAGCGGGGTCTTCCCCATCAGGTCTTCAGCTCAGGTGGAGAGCAGCTTCTTTGATGCGATGCCACAGTGATGGCAGGAGGCTGGGGACAAGGCTGGCTTTGTGCCACCAGTGCCTGGGCTGGAGGTGCAGGGACTTAACCCTCCCATCACTGCTGCATTCCAGGGCCACCTGCGTCCATTGCTCATCCTCACTGGCTCAAATCCAGCCTGGCCACTCAACCAGCCCAGGGCAGTGTGCGTGTCACAAGGGCTTTTTGCGCATCACAGGGTCCCTGGGGCATATTGCACAGTACTGGGAGCTTGCAGGTCCCATCACCTGGTTTGCTCCTTGGTTTTGAAGCTGGGTGAAAGCAGAACATCCTCCCTTGGGTCCAGCTCATCCCATCGGACAAGTGGTGGGGGTCTGGAGCTGCAGGAGGGTGCCCCTGGCTTTGGGGAGGGGTTGACAGCAGCTGCTGGCATCGGTTGGAGAGGCGGGATGAGGTGGACGAGGGGATGAGGAGAAGGCACCTTTGCTGCACACCGATGTCCATCAGAGGCGGGTTTCCTGGCGAGGCCCCAGGCAGCTCCGTACCCGGCGGAAGGGAGCTGCCGGCCGCTTCCCCCGAGGAAACGCAGCCGCTGGCTCTGCTCCTGCTGCTCTCCCGCTTCCTCCCGTTTGATTCCTGCTGTGCGCACTCCGCGGGAAGTTTGTGCTGGCCCCAGCGCTGTTTAATTACCTGGAGCAGGGGCTGTGCGGAGGAGGAAGCGGCCGCTTCCTGGAGGGGAGGGATTAGACCGAGAGGGGGATGTGCAGATCCTTCTAGGCACAAAGGCAGCACAGGAATGGTGGGGTACCGGCACGGAGCTGGGGTGTTCCCAAGGGAGGTGCTGGCATGAGGCTGGGATGAACGTTTCCAGGGATGTGGCATCCACAGCTTCTCAGGTTGTTCAAGGCCAGGCTGGACACAGGGGCTTGGAGCAAGCTGCTCCAGTGGAAGGGGTCCCTGCCCGTGGCAGGGGCTGGAGCTGGAGGAGCTTTAAGGTCCCTTCCAACCCAAACCACGCTGGGATTCTATGATTTGGGGCTGGATGCGGGTGTTTCTCCTCAGCCATGGCTGGATCCCTCCCCCTTCTCAGGATAGCTTTAAGCCTCAGCTTCCCTTAAGGCTGTTCCTGAGCTGCCTTTCCTCTGTGGCACGCTTCCTCCCCTGCTTTCTTCCCAAAATAGCCTGTGCCAAATGCTTTCCCTGCCAACAGCTGCCCAGCCCCACAACCACTTGTGCCCCACAGGACCATGTGTGTGCTGGAGGGTGATGCTGTGCCCAGCAGCTGCGGGTGCTCCCAGGGTGCTGTTTGCCCCCCATCCCACTCCCACCAGCACCATTCCACACCCGGGCCCCAGCACCCAGATGCTGTGGCAAGTCCCAGATGAAGTCTCACATCTGGCAGCACCCCCAGCCCTGAGCTCACCCCTGCAGTGCAGTCACATCCTGCCGGTTCTCCTCCGGTGTGCCCATTGCCTGGCTCCTGGGAAAACCAGGCTCCCATTCCATTCCTCCGTGCCTTAGAGAATCCCCGAATCCCAGCATGGTTTGGGTTGGAAGGGACCTTAAAGCTCCTCCAGCTCCAACCCCTGCCACGGGCAGGGACCCCTTCCACTGGAGCAGCTTGCTCCAAGCCCCTGTGTCCAACCTGGCCTTGAGCACTGCCAGGGATGGGGCAGCCACAGCTTCTCTGGGCACCCTGTGCCAGCGCCTCAGCACCCTCACAGGGAAGAATGGTGCTGGCAGCTGTCTGTGGTCAAGTGGCTTTGCAAAAGCATCCAATGCCTTTATCCAGAGGAAACTTCTCCGCTGAGAATCACACCCAGAAGGGCCTCAGCCTCTGCTCCTTCCCAGCCCGCTCCCCCGAGCTCTGAGTCATGACTCGGCACCCTCGGCGCTGGCACTGTGACCATCCCCGGCTGGGAAGCATTCCTTAAATGTACAAACAATTCCGGCCCCACCGGCAGCACCGCAGCAGCCGCTCGAGGTTCAGCCCTACGTCACCAGGGCTGGTGGGGAGCCAGGGGGTCCCTGGGGTGCCCCCCGTTTAGGGGGAGGTGGTTTGTGGCCATGGAGGGCTCATTGGTCCCTGGTTTGTCAGGTTTGGCTGGATGTGGTCCCATTCTTGTTGCAGGTTGATGGTCCCCTGCTCAGCAGCATCCCTTGGGAGAAGATGGCTCAGCCTGCACCCCTGAACCAGAACCTCCCAGGTAATGGGACCAGGGTGGTCACAGGGCAGCAGAAGCAATGGGAAGGGAACGGTAGGGCTGAGCTATTCAGTCCCATCCCAAGGGACTTCCTCATCTTATCACCAACCCCAGCACAGAGCAGGTACCCTGGGACACCCCAGCAGCCGTGAGGATACTGGGAATGATCCATCATGGCAGGGAGGAGGGCTGCAGGCTGCGATTCCCAGTATAACCCTGTTGGAAAAGCCTCTCTCCACCAGGTCCCGGCCCAACCATTCCCTCTTCTCTTGCAGATCTCGGTGGCCCGTTCTTGTACCGGGACCAGGACAATGGGGAGAAGAGCTCGTATTCCGTGGAAACCCCCTACGGCTTCCTCCTGGACCTGGATTTCCTCAAGTACGTGGATGACATCGAGAGCGGCCAAACCCTCAGGAAGGTGCCACTGCCCCGGAGGGCCAAAGGGCCGCGGCAGCCCCCCAGCACCCTGCGCAGCCCCAGCAGCCACGCCAGCGCCTGGACCTCCACCGAGTCCCTGGCCTCCACGGCCAGCGAGGACGGGAGGACGCTGCTGCTGCTGTCCCCGCCCGGCCGCGTGCCCCTGGACCCCCCGAGCAAGCCGGCCCCGCATCCCATCTCACCGCCGCCGCTGCCGCTGCTGCCACCTCCCACCCGCAAGTGCGGGCTGAGGAACCCGCGCGTGGAGAAGACGCTGCTGGAGACGAGCCGGAGGCTGGAGCAGGAGCAGGACAGGGCCGGGCCCTGCCGCGGCGGCACATTGGGAGCCCCGTGTCAGCCCCCGCCGTGGGTGCTGGGGGAGGGCTGGGGCCGGGGCAGCCCC